CATTAGCCTAATTATTTTAAACTTAACCACAGGAGAGAAAATTTCTATAAAATCGATACCTGCCCTTTGTGTGAAGCCCTTTGCCACCAGTCTAGCTTTGTATCTTGGAGGATTTGTGCTTGTTAAGCCTTCTTTTAGTTTGTAAAGCCATTTGCAATCTATTAGTTTCTGGTCAGCAGGTTTTAGGACCAGAGTCCAAGTTATGTTCTGTTTTAGGGACATCATCTCCTCCTTCATGGCTTCTAGCCATTTTTCACTGTCTTTTGAACTCATAGCTTCTTGGTATGTCTCTGGTTCAATCCTTAGTGTATCTACCCCAGCAACAAGGGCAGTGTAGATCAAGTCAGCATAACTATATCTGTTTGGGGGCCTTATCTCCATTCTGACCTTGTCTCTTGCTAACTGGTATTCTGCCAGGTTGTCATTCTGGTCTTCATCATTGTTTTCAGGCTGATCCTCTTCTTCATATTGGTCCCCAATGTTTGGCAGTGTGGGACTTTGTGGTTTAGTGGCTTCAGATTGTTCAGACTGTTCTATCAGGATTGGTGGCTCACCTCAAACTGAGATCTCTCTGTTTGATCAGACATTTCAGGATCTATTCTTGGGTAACCTGCATTGTCAGTAGAAGTTTTGCAAGGAAACATGGTCTCATTAAAGACTACATCTCGACTAATTATGACCCTAATTCCTGGTACATCTTTCTCCCACAACCTATAACCTTTAGTCCCTTCCTGATACCCTAGGAAAACACATTTAAGGGACCTAGGTTCTAACTTACCTTCTCTGGTGTGTGCATATGCAGCACACCCAAAGACCCTTAGGTGGTTGAGATTTGGTCTCCTCCCTGACCATTTCTCTTCTGGACACTTAAAACCTATTGAACTGGATGGGCTCCTATTGATCAAATAGGCTGCTGTGGTTAGAACTTCTCCCTAGAAGGTTTTGGGTAGTCCAGCAGTGAAAAGAAGACACCTGACCCTTTCTAGGAGAGTCTTATTTATCCTCTCTGCAACCCCATTCTGTTGTGGGGTTGCCCTGACAGTTCTATGCCTTAGCACCCCCTGATTTAGGCAGTAAGTATCAAACTCTAAGTTACAGAACTCTAACCCATTATCAGTCCTAAGAGTTTTGACTTTTCTATCTAACTGTGTTTCAACTAGGGTTTTCCAACCTTTGAACTTCATTAAGGCTTCGTCATTAGTCTTGAGAAGGTACCCCATACCTTCTTACTGTAATCGTCCACAATGGAGAGGAAGTATATGTTCCCTCCATGTGACTTTACTTTTTCTAGACCCCAAAGATCTGCATGAACATAATCTAGACACTTTGCAGCAAGGTGAGTTCCTTTGTGGAAACTTATCCTGTGCTGTTTCCCAAGAATACAGGTTTCACAGAAATTTAAAGCAGTTACAATGTCATTACCAAAATAACCCTGCTATTTTAATAAATTCATACCATTTTGGCCTATATGGCCTAATCTCAAGTGCCATTTTTCTGCAACAAATATGTTAGTAGAAAGTAAAGCAGAATTAAAAACATCAGGATAGTACTACCCACACAAGATATAAAGCCCATTTTTCTTAACACCCTTTATCAACACAGTCCCATTCTTGTAGACTTCCATACAACCATTTTGTGCTTTATAGGAACAGCCTGATTCATCTAAGGTTCCCAAGGAAATTAGGTTACATTTCAGTTCGGATATATACCTAACTTTAGTGAGCAATACTAGCTTACCATTATTCAGCCTAATGGTTATATCACCTATTCCTTGAACCTCATAGGAGTGATTATTCCCCATGTATATTGTTTCTTGTTCCCCAGTTTTAAGTCTTTGAAACCAGTCTTTGTTAGGACTCATGTGGAAGGTACAGCTTGAGTCTAGCACCCACTTATTGCTTCTAGATGAATTAGAAATAGTAAGGGCTTCAGATATTTCTAAGTTACTACTAGAGCTAACTAGGTTTGTTTCTGTGTTGGCCTATTTGTTCTTTTTAATCCATTCATAGCAATTTTTCTTGAGATGCCCTGTTTTGTTACAGAAAAAACACTTCCTAGATTCCCCCTTAGGTCTCCCATTACCTTTACTACTCTTTCTGTTTTTAGGGCCTACATTTCTGTGATTGTTCTTACTAGACTCTTTACCAAATTGTCCAGTATCGAATTTCCCTTTCACAAACAAATTGCTCCTGTTACGCTTTTGAATCTTTAATTCTAATTCCCTAGATTTTAGCCCAGAAATAATTAGGTCCACACTAGGTACTGTTCCACTATATTGAAGGGCATTCTTTACCACTAAGCATTACTCTGGTAGGGAATTTAACAGAATCATGGCTAGGCTGGAATCTCCTAGTTCTTGGTTAGTACCTTTTACGGTTAGAGTCATTTTTAGAAATTCATCCAAATTCTCATCTAAGGATTTAGCTAAGTCCATTTTATAAGAAAATAATGCGTCTTTCAAGAAAGCTAAGTTAGGAGCAGATTTAAGAGCATACAAAGACTTGAGTTTACCCCAGAGTGGAATCGGAGATTCCATGCCATCCAGCTTTCGAAGCACAGTGTCTGACAGGTTCATGATGATCAAGTTGTATGCTTCTTCGTCCACCTCTGCCTTCTTCTTTTTCTTTTCTTCTGGCCATTTGGATTCATCTTTCTCCAGTGCGATTCCAACCGTGTTGTGGGATAACAAGGCCTTCATTTTCTTTTTCCAGGTGTTGAAATCTATTTTCCCATCGTATTGGGAAATCTCCATGCGCGTGACACTCATAATTTTGAGTTCAAAAAACCAAACCCTAAGAGACTAAGATTGTGTTTAGTTGACTTGATTTATTGAGGATTTTGGAGGGATTTAACTGTGTTTGGAGCTTTAGGACTATCAAAGAACTAATTAATCAAAAAACCCTAAATTATTTCGAAACCCTAAAATTGAATCCCCAAATCACGAAACCCTAAAATTTCAATTCGTTTATGAGAAACCCTAAAATAGAATTCCCAAATCAAGAAACCCTAAAATACGGCTCTGATACCACTATTGTAAATACCCCTCATTTATTCTAAGCAAACTATTAGTAAACGGTTCCGTATACGTAGCGAAAACAAAAAAAAAAAAAATATAACATGATCGTTTACATGAGCCAAGATCAAGGGTATGATTTTACAATTTATATTAAATAAAATCTGCATAAATATTCAACATGAGTTAAGAGAAACAAACGCACGTTGAAGNTTTCTGTACTATTATCCTTATGATTATTTCCTTTCTCTTCTTGTCTAATTGCAACAATGATTTCTCCTTTGGTTAAAGTATACACAATTTGTTGCTCATTTGAATAATCGAAGAAGACATTAATATCCATTCGATTAGTGTAGTGAATTTGTCGAATCTGATCACTCAATTCTATAGTGACTCTTTTATTCTCCTCATCCACTTCATTTGTAACTTACAATTCATTGACATTAGTGGTCCTAATTTTGCAGCGCTTAAAACCATTGACAATTGTTTGTAGCTTCACATCAATTGACCATGCATCAACTGTATTTACAATTCTATCAATGACACTTATTAAAAAACGATATTTTATCTGTTTCAAAAGTAGGTAATTGAAACGCTGTATTGAAATCCTAATATTACAAAAGTATGAATTAAAATCCTAATACTGTACTACTAAAATATGAATTATAAAATAAGAAATCAAAACTATAATTTTTGTAACTACACCTCCATTAAGTTATAACTTCTGTGTAGTAATAAAATTAGTTAGTCCCAACATTATGACTATAGAGAGATTTTACTGTATATATATATCTCAAAGTTGTTCCAACTAGTTTGTTTGTATCTCAATTAATCTCCTGAGATCCTAGAACTACCAGTTGGATAAGAACTCCAATGGCTACCCTTATTAAGGGTCGAGGAGAATCGAACTCAAGACCTCTTAAATAATACACCTAAAAGTCTTAGTTGACTACTTAACTACCTATTAGTGGTTTATAAGGAACTATAAACCATATATATGTGTGTGTGTGTGTGTGTGTTTCCTTCTAATTTTAACAGGTAAAATCGAATCCAATCGCTGATCAAAAGAGAATTGAACTACATGCAAATTAAAAATGATCCAAACAAAAGCGTCTTAGATATAGCTACTTGGAAAAGCACAACGAGCTTCAATATTCAGAATGCAGAGAAATGTTAAAGGAATTAAAACTTTAATACTGCTGTATTAGACTAATTAATAAATGAATACAATGTACAATGGAAAATATTTAAAGAGAGTTGCTAGGAATATATGATAAATCCGAATCTAGGAAGGAACTACAACACAACAAGGTAAGTATATGATTTCTCGACACAGGAAGAACTTGGAAGGCCGAAGGTTCTCTAAAACAAAAAGTACTTTACTATTTATTAACAGTATTAACTAAGCCACCCCATATTCTTTCCCTTTTATTCCATGCTACATATGTCTTTAATCTTAGTATCATTCCTTATTAACCCTTCAATCAGATCTTGACGTGTTCTCCGGCTACTGGACTTCTGTTTTTCTTAAATAAGAGCTGATGAACGCCGAACAGGACAAATAGAAGTTCTTTTGCAAGACGACACAGAAACCAGAATATAGTTTCAATAAAATCTCTCTGTTCAACTAACTTCAGACCTTGAGGTAAATTTTCTTTAGTCTACATGAATAAGTAATCTGATTTCTTATAAATGTTAAAGGCCGTGTAACTGTTTGTTATTTCAGATGGGGTGGGGAAACATTTACATAAGACGCATGAAAGTGTACATGCTGACTTTTAAAGTTCTCCTGGACTACAAGGTAAAGTTTCTTTGTTACTGCAGCTTAATANTTAATGAAATGACAATATATATACATGACACTGAACACAAGAAGGAGAAATTTTCGATCAACTAACTTGAGACGCTGAGGTAATTTTGTTTAGTTTACAAGAATAATAAATCTGATTTCTTTTAAATGTTAAAAAGGCTGTGTTTGTTATTTCAGATGGGGTGGGGAAACATTTACATAAGACGCATCAAAGTCTACAAGCTGGCTTTCAAAGTTTTCCTGGACTACAAGGTAATTAAAATTTATTTCTTTGTTATTGCAGCTTAATTATTTACTATTTTGATGTGAAATCTTATTTGGTGTTAATGTTTACTAAAGGCTTTACAAATAAAAGCGAAATGGACTGACAAATCTAAAAGAGATGGTTTATGGGAGAAAGCTCATAACCGAAATGGTAAGCGTATTGTGAATTTGATAACAGAGTTGAAGGGTTCATGGGTGAAACTTGGACAATACTTATCGGGGCGTGCTGATGTGCTTCCTGCGGAGTACATAACTCTTCTCAAACAGTTACAGGACTCCCTTCCTCCTCATCCTTTACAAGAGGTCTACCTCTCAACTTAAATTTGTATAGTAGAAGATTATGGAGGTCTGAATTTGATTTTGTTAGGCTAATTACTATGATCAGGCTGAATATTGAAGGATTTGGAAATGTTTGTTTGCCTGCATTATGAATTTCCTTCAAGTTATTTCATTTGTTGCTGGGAAGAATATAATAGGTTTAAGGTTAATTTAGTCTTTCTATTAATTAATAGGTTAGTTGATTATTTATAAAATGAAGTAATGAATTTATAATTTTATTTTAATAATAATTCTATTATATCTCAATTTTATTACCTTAATTTCAATAACAATAATTTTAATTATTTATATTAATAATTATTGTTATTCCCTTTTCACATTCATCTTACAAAGTAATCAAATTTTCTTAATCCAAATGTTCCCAAAATTTCATAGAGTAAACCACATGTTCCCAACCCAAGGTTTAGCAAAATAGCAAGTTCCCACCCCTAATTTCATAAATTTCAATTGCCATCCTTAAAGTAATACCGTTTGCTTAATTTTAACCTTTTTACTATAGTGCGGGTCGCGTTAGTAAACTATCATGCATCGATGCTTTTTTGGCTCACGTTAGCAAGAAGCAGATCATGTTAGCATCGCCTAAACCGCCAATTTTTGGCTTTTTTCGACCGATCCCAAACTCTAAAATAATTTTTTAGACCACTGTTGAACTCCCCACAACCTCCTCTACAAAACTCATACTCCTACTTGCCGTCATTACTCACTTTCTAGCCACTCCCACACTTGCCACCTTGTGATTTTGGGTATATTTTCTATCATTTTCTGTTCGATCAAAGAGCAACCAGTGTCATCAAACTACACCAAGAAACTCTTCGTATGTTTTAGTTTGTGTGGGCATGTTTTTTGGCCGTCTTTGTCTTTCTGTTCGTCGGAAATTGAAGCCCAAAGTCAGGGCCGCCACCTGCTCGATAAAAGGCTCGAGTCAGTTTTCCAGATTCTCACCCTTAGTTGAACAGTCATTGACGGTGTTTAATTTAGGGTGGAAATCTAGAATAAATGAAACTTAGGGCGGGAGCTTGCCGTGTCGCTAAATCTTGGTGGGAACACGTTTACTCAATTTCATATTTTAAACTCATCTTCCAAACTTCATCAAACACAAATCGTTTTCATTAACCAACCAAATATAAAATTTCATGGATCTTTAAAAAATAGCAAAAAAATAAAATAAATAAATAAATGAAGAAAATTGGTCTGCGGTGGCCACCGCCGTCGCTTGAGCCCCCACGCAGCTGGCCAGATTTGACCGCCGCGAGGGGACTTCACCCCGGCTAAATGTGGCCGACGCTAAGGGCCCCGTATTTCTCAGTTTGGGTATGTGCGTATTTTTGCTACATCTTCAGGATATCTAAGTGGTAAGTTTGCTTGCACAGGTTTGTCAGACCATAGAGAAAGAGTTGGGTAAATCCATGGATGATCTCTTCATGGATTTTGTCCAAAAACCTTTGGCCACTGCATCAGTAAGATCCTCCAACTATAATTGGTTGTATGAGCTATTGAAATAGTTAGTACATTATGGGATTTTCATCTTTTAAGCTATGCAGATTGCACAAGTCCACCGTGCCAAGCTAAGTGATGGGCAGGATGTGGTTGTCAAAGTTCAACATCAGGGCATCAAGAAAATTATCTTGGAGGTTTTACATACTTTTGTTTATAAGTATTTGATGCAAAGAAAAACCTGGAGTGATTAAACGGTTATTGAGTATGCTATAATTTTATAGGACTTAAAGGATGCAAAATCGATTATTGACTGGATAGCTTGGGCAGAACCGTTATATGATTTCAATCCAGTTTTGGACGAATGGTGCCGAGAAGCTCCGAAAGAACTTGACTTCAATCTTGAAGCTGGTATGATAAGTTTTTACTTGTTCTTATAGTTGTATTATCTAGAAGCTGGTAATAAAATTTTCTTGAATGAACTCAATAGTTCATCATACTTTTGTAGTAAAAACTGGTTGTCTTCTGTTGCTATTAGTAGGAAATGTGATGTCACATGAGTTTTGATAAGTAAATGGTTCTGTGGTGGAATTTAAATGACAGGAAAAAATCACAAATATTGCACTTCGTTGTATGATAAATGCTCACTCATTTTCTTATTGATGCTTGTTTTTGTTTGTAGAAAATACTAGAACTGTGTCTAGAAATCTTGGCTGCAAAAACAGAGGCGAAGACAATAAAGTGGATGTTCTTTTCCGGAAGTTATTCAGGCATGGTTTTCACTATATTTTTGATTGAAACGTCTTGTTCTGCAATCTACAGTTTATGTGACTCAGAGCTATGTTAAATTTGAAATATGGGAAGTTTGGAATATTTTATTGTTACTCTTGTGTTACAATAGGTTATGACAAAAATCTAGTGAATATCTAGTGAAAGAGAAAGTTTGTTCTGAAGAAACAAGTTCGTGTTTTTACTCTTTAAACAAATGAGCTTATTCTTCGGCTATACTATTAGATTTGTCATGTAAGCCTTCCCAGGATCTGATAGTTGTATATATGTCATATTTATAACATTCAGCATGGTAGCTATGTAATGGGAAAGGAGTGCCTTTTTCTTTTTGGTTTGGATTGGTGGGTTACCAAATTGTTACTAATGCTAGACTTTGATCTAGGGTTTATTGGAACTTACTTTCTTAAGTAGAGAACACTGCCTTTTTTGTTTCAAAACTAATGTGAATCTTTATTTTTTTTTTCCAAATCATACGTCACTGAAGCTGTCCTCATTTTAGAGTATATGGATGGGATACGATAAATGACTCTGAAACTCTGGAAGCTTTTGGTGTTGACAAGCAGAAGATTGTAGAAGAAATTACACTGCATATGCCCACCAAATTTATGTTGATGGATTTTTCAATGGTGACCCTCATCCTGGTACTTGTTCTCACTGTTTGTTCTTTTTGCACTTGTTGCCTTGAAATTTGTTTGGCCTTCGGAACGAGTCATAATATTAGTGCTAAAATAGAAGTTGGTTTTTTCTGATTACATAAATGTGGCGTGTGTAAGAATCAATTCCCTCTCCTATTTCAATGCTTTCTTGAGTGTTTTAATGTAGGAAATTTCCTTGTTAGCAAGAGGCTCCTCATCGCCCATTTTGCTAACTTTGGGCTCACAAAGAAAGTAACATACTCTGTGAAACAAGCACTAGCAAAAATGTTGTTGGCAGCTGCAGAGTTTGTTTGTAACTTTTCGTTATTTTTTTTTTTTTCATCTAGAATAAATATTTTAAAGAATTTTAGAAATAAGAGAATTATGATGACTCAGTGTATTGATTCTGTCAATGTCTATGAGTTAATTTCTCTGGCATTATAGATTTGTGTCTGTTTAACTTTAGCAGTAATTTTTGATTAAATGCATCTGCTAGACCTTCTATGTTATTTACTTGCCTGTTAAGTATTCATCATAATGTCTAGCTTGGTTTAATGGGGGAGATTTCTCATTTCAATAATTTTCACTATCTTTTGCTTAGGATCTGTAGATGACAGTTTTTTTTTTCAGAATTGGTTTAAATACTATCGTTAGATTCTTATCTAAAAGCTTAAGCATTATAAGTTGTATTTGCGATTGTGTATGCTCCATATGCAACCGCATGGAATGGAGTGGAGTGGGTTGCTAGAGCTTAGATACTATTTATTGTCCGACCTTGTTTTGAATTCAGTTTCTAACCAATTAATTTACCGTTAATGTCTTTCTGCTATCGACATCCCTTCAGACTATTTCTCTTTCTAGATTAAGAAATAATTATTTTTGTCATTGTCAAAGGGGGACCATGTAGCTCTTTTGTCTGCCATGGAAGAAATGGGACTTAAGCTGCGTGTAGACCTGCCTGAGCAGGCTATGGAGGTTACAACTTTATTTTTCCGTGATGCTACACCAACGGATGAAGCTCCTGTAAGTTTATTCTCAGAACATCTGTGATTTTCTTTACCTCTTGCTAATAATCCTTTGTACAGGGTACCATGAAAAGTATTGTTAATCAAAAGGAAAAAAGCATGAAGCTTATACAGGAAAAGATGAAATTTAGCCAAAAAGAAATTAAACGTTTTAATCCTGTAAGGCCATATCATCTCATATTTTTTTTTTTTTTTTTTCTTTGTATGTTTCTATGAGACTTTAATTCAAACTCATCCATAATTTTAACATAGTTACACATTTTGGTTCCAGTTCGAAGCCTTTCCTGGCGATTTTGTAATGTTTTCAAAAGTCCTTACTCTCCTTAGAGGTATGGTATAGAGACCTCCGTTCCTTACCTTGTGTTAGCCAACTGTGCATTTTTATCTCATTATCTAGCATGGTTCAGGGCTTTCGTCCATGATGAATGTTCGCATCGTATATCTGGATATTTTGAGACCATTTGCCGAATCTGTTTTAGAAGGGTCAGTCCATTCTAACCTTAATCTGTCATTTCATTACTTTTGTTACTGGCTCATATCTGACAACAATGTGATTTAACTTCTCAGAAACATAAAAAAGGGACCAGCAGCAAATCCCCAGTGGATTTATGATTCTCCAATCCATTGTGAAGTGGAGGCCAAGCTGAGGGAGTTCTTAGTTCAACTGGGGAATGAGGACAGAATACTTGGAATTCAGGTCTGCACTCTGCACCAATTTTAATGATACACCTTTGGATTTAAGTAGGCATAATATCATTACAATTATGATAGGATAATCCTTTTTAGCTTTTTCCATATTTCTTTTTGAAAAATATATATAAAAAGCATGTGTGTTAAGTAAAACTAAGTTGTCTAAATAAAAACGTGGCAGTGGGGATCCTTTTGCGGAAGAGAAGAGACCTCTAGTCTTGCCTACACACTCAAAATCATCGCTTTGTTTTTCTTTGGCTCATATCCTACTATAATTTTGTTCTTCATAATTATTAATTTTTGCCGTACTGTGCATCTCTGTAACTATCAATCTAGTAAAAGAATTGTATTTATCATCATATCCCATATACCTCAATTTAGCTCATACTTCAAAGTTTTTTTCAATGCTCTCCTTTCAATATCACTTCATCTTGAAATTAACATCTGTTTTCCTTGCAACCAAAACAATGACCAGGATGATATTGATACTAATATCATAAGAAATATAGCTTACAGTTAGAGAGAAGACTAGCAGGCCAGAGCTTACTTAGTTACAATACTATAATTAAAACATTAATTAAATTTGCTAATTAAGAGATCTTGTTATTATTAATTTATTATTATACATAAAATTGAAGCTGATCTGAAGGATCTTTGAAAGCACCTGCTTTTATTGCTCAAAAGGTTAAGCGTGGAGCAACTACAAAGTTATTAAAAAGATTAAAAAAGAAAATTAACTACCAAAAAGTCATTAAAAGATGATGTAAAAGTTATGGAGGCAGCAAAACTTTTATTATTGTCTGTATATCTGGGGACTCCTTTAGCCCATTTATGTGATTCATCCAAGACTGCTGGAAGTTGAGGTCTTTATTAAAAGGCTAGTACAGCTAGTCTCCAATATCTTTCATTTCCTGAAATCACTCAACAAAACAGGGAAGCCAAAAATATGCTCCCACGAGGTTGGTATCATGGGTTAACAGCAGAGACTTGTTTCAGACATGGCCAGCAGAAGCCTTTATCTAATTCTCTAAGATTAAAGTGGAAAGTACTTAAAACAGTATGTTTATACTATTTTGATTTTGAGTGAAAGTGTGATAGGAATAGGTATTTTTAACTTTTTAGTGAACTTTGAATAAAAGAATTGATTATTTTCTTCCAGTTTATGTACCATTATTTAGTTCACCTTTATTTTTTTATTTAACTTTTTACTCTGAAATTCATATTAACAATTGTACGATGATTTTTAAGCTCATTTATCTATTTATAGATGCCAAAATCTACAATTATTCTTCACTTTTTATGAGATTTTAATTAATGATGTCTTAAGATTTGTGCGTACAAAGATGGTGAGGTGATTATAGATACCGCGGCTGGAGTGCTCGGTAGATATGATCCTCGTCCTGTTCAGCTTGATAGTCTTTTTAATGTTTTTTCGGTAACAAAGGGCATCACAGCAGGCATGGTGCATTGGCTTGTTGACAATGGGTATGTTATAGTTCTTATGGGTACTAAGCTTTATGTTTGTAAATTTTTATGCTTTGTTGTGCAAAACTTTTATTTGACTAGTTATATGCATGCCCATTAACCATTAATAGTTTTTTCCTGCACATTTACAACAAACTCTTAATTTTCTAATTTAGGTTGTTGAAGTCTAGCTAGACATAATTTGAGAAGCTCTAATAAAAATTTTATGGTCCTCTTCAACTGCATGTCAGTGGACATTGTCTCAAGAAACACTTATTTCCACATGATCTAACAGACTTAAATGTTGACATGGATAGAGATTTAGCCGTATGACCTTTTGAGAAATTTTGGTCCTTTTTTTTTTTTTTTTTGAAATATAACAAATATATTTCATTTTGGATAATGGCAATTTGTAATCTTGTTGGAAGGGCCCTAAATATTGATGCATAGACTCAATCTATTCCTCTTGATATTGAAAGAAATGTCTAATTCTTTCCAGTAATTGGGAAAATGAAGAACAGATGACTCCATAATATATTGATCGAGAACCTTTTGTAAAGGTCCTAACCGGCATCAAAACCTTGGGGTTTCTTGTGACATGCCTATCACTTTGGTTTAATGTAATCAATTTAAAATAATGAAAAACAAAATTAAAAGATTTGGCCACCATCGGGGCCTCACCTCTAGTTTATTGATTATTGTTACTCATAGTTACTCAAAATTTCAAGTATATTTGTGCGTTTCATGCCATTATTCTACAACAAAATAACAGAAATATTTTTAGAGGCACAAAGATGTGAGAGACAAATGATACATTTTTACAAAGTGAAACAGTGGAGACTCAGAAATTCTTCATTCTAGTTGATAGAACATGTAATTCATATTGTGGATTTTAGAGCTTCTTTAATTATGTCCCGATGGTGTACTTTGAGATATTTACTTAGGTGTAGTTCAAAAGTCAGATGTCTTTAGTTCATTATGTAATTATTCAATGATACCCCCATAGTACTTCAGAAAGATTCACTGAATTTGTTAATGATTTGGAACATAGCTAAAATCAGCGAATTGATCCATAAAGATTCTCAGATTAATGGATACTTTGGTACACAAGAGATCATTGTGAGATCTAAGGTGTCAATGTTACTTTAACTGTTCGTGCAATTTTAACAAATTGAGGCATTTTGTTGTGCAGAAAAGTCAAGCTTGAGGAGAATGTTGCTGACATTTGGCCAGAATTTGGATCAAATGGAAATGGAAAAGATCTCATAAAGGTGTAAATCTTATCTTATGACCTCTTAAACATATTCTGTAGTTAGCCATAGTTTTTATATCAGTAACTCAATATAACTTGGTTTTCGATTTTAGGTTCATCATGTGCTTAACCATACAAGTGGTTTGCCCTATGCTTTGGTTGAGTTTGGAGCAGAAAATCCTATGGAACTTGCTAACTGGGATGAATGTTTGAGGCAGATTGTCATGTCAAAACCTGAAACTGAACCAGGCCAACAGCAGGTCTATCACTATCTGTCTTTCGGCTGGCTTTGTGGTGGAATAATCGAGGTATCATTAGCATACTAATGTTGCTTTCAATTTAATTAAGTTGTCAACTGCGGTTTGCATCTGAAGTTTTATGAACCCTGAAATCTATAAATAACAAATATCTTGCCTATATATTTATATGGTGCTTTATCTAGATGTCATGTGATCCTAGGTATGCTAGCTTGATTGATTGTAAGTTTGATCTTTTTGCTATATGTTTGGATAAANCCATCGGGGCCTCACCTCTAGTTTATTGATTATTGTTACTCATAGTTACTCAAAATTTCAAGTATATTTGTGCGTTTCATGCCATTATTCTACAACAAAATAACAGAAATATTTTTAGAGGCACAAAGATGTGAGAGACAAATGATACATTTTTACAAAGTGAAACAGTGGAGACTCAGAAATTCTTCATTCTAGTTGATAGAACATGTAATTCATATTGTGGATTTTGGAGCTTCTTTAATTATGTCCCGATGGTGTACTTTGAGATATTTACTTAGGTGTAGTGCAAAAGTCAGATGTCTTTAGTTCATTATGTAATTATTCAATGATACCCCCATAGTATTTCAGAAAGATTCACTGAATTTGTTAATGATTTGGAACATAGGTAAAATCAGCGAATTGATCCATAAAGATTCTCAGATTAATGGATACTTTGGTACACAAGAGATCATTGTGAGATCTAAGGTGTCAATGTTACTTTAACTGTTCGTGCAAATTTTAACAAATTGAGGCATTTTGTTGTGCAGAAAAGTCAAGCTTGAGGAGAATGTTGCTGACATTTGGCCAGAATTTGGATCAAATGGAAATGGAAAAGATCTCATAAAGGTGTAAATCTTATCTTATGACCTCTTAAACATATTCTGTAGTTAGCCATAGTTTTTATATCAGTAACTCAATATAACTTGGTTTTCGATTTTAGGTTCATCATGTGCTTAACCATACAAGTGGTTTGCCCTATGCTTTGGTTGAGTTTGGAGCAGAAAATCCTATGGAACTTGCTAACTGGGATGAATGTTTGAGGCAGATTGTCATGTCAAAACCTGAAACTGAACCAGGCCAACAGCAGGTCTATCACTATCTGTCTTTCGGCTGGCTTTGTGGTGGAATAATCGAGGTATCTTTAGCATACTAATGTTGCTTTCAATTTAATTAAGTCGTCAACTCCGGTTTGCATCTGAAGTTTTATGAACCCTGAAATCTATAGATAACAAATATCTTGCCTATATATTTATATGGTGCTTTATCTAGATGTCATGTGATCCTAGGTATGCTAGCTTGATTGATTGTAAGTTTGATCTTTTTGCTATATGTTTGGATAAAACAGCATGCGTCTGGGAAGAAGTTTCAGAAGATACTTGAAGAAGCATTCATTCGACCGCTAAATATTGAAGGCGAGTTATATATTGGAATTCCGCCAGGTACTTGTTGAACTTCCCTTTTTTAATTTTCTCATGTCACTTGGTGCAATAAATATAGGTTTACATGAATATGTGCTCACAATAATGTTCTATTCAAAAGAAGAACATAAATTATGTAGTCTACTGTAACTAAACTATAAAACCGAGTTAGCTGTCATCAATGGCATCATCATGCCTTTCAATGGCTACCCTCCAGGTGTGGAATCTCGACTTGCAACTCTTACAATAGATGAATATGATCTCAGCAAGTACACAGACAGAGGTTACCATCCTGACTTACCCTCTACTTACCGCCTCGACCAAATTGCAGAGCTCATCACCACTTTGCCGGTTTTCTTTAACATGCTGAACATTCGTCGTGCCATCTTACCTGCTACTAACGGACATTGCTCGGCCCGTGCAATTGCACGCTACTATGCAGCCCTAACTGATGGGGGAGTTATCCCACCCCCACATTCCTCTTTATCTAAGCGACCACTTGGTAGTCACACTCACATCCCTACATTTTCATCACACGAGAAATCAAAAAAGCCAAAAGGTGAGAAAAGCAAAGAGGTACCTGCTGCTTCAAAGAACAATACAAATAATAAGGGTAAAGATGCTAGTGGTGATGCTAACACTAGGCCCATAAATAATGGTGGCAAGATTTTTAGTAACCCTAGAATCCATGATGCATTCTTGGGTGTGGGTGATTATGAGAATATGGCTTTGCCAAATGGAGCGTTTGGACTGGGATTTATGAGGTACAAAGCTGAGGATGGATCGCTTATTGGTTATGGGCACTCGGGCATAGGTGGGTCAACAGGTTTCTGCGACATAAAAAACAGGTTTGCTATAGCAGTGTCATTGAACAAAATGTCATATGGTGCTACAACTACAAAAATCATTGGTTTTGTTTGTGCAGAGCTAAATATCCCTTTGCCGGTTGAGTTTTCATCTATTAAGGACTTTGAAAAGCCTCTGCTTCGCTAAATAAGAGTATCTCATATCCCATTTGTATAAATAAATTATATCCAAATCAAACATTGGTTTCACAGAAGATGAATTATTAAACATTTCATAAAGTAATTATATTGAATATGAAAAGGCACTATGAACGGTTTCTTCGGCATCTTTCATACCTTTTTTTTTTTTTTTAATTATTTTTTTTTAAGTTTTAGTGGGAGAGATTAAGAACTAATCATTTAGTGATAATATGTTAAGTATAAATTATTTATATAAACTCTTCCATACAAATTGATATGTTTTAGGATGATTGAATGACAAATTATACGAGATTAGTTGTTAAACAGGTAGAGTTGTTGCATCAGTTTATAAAAAATAGTTCGTATGTAAAATATATTTGAATATTAATATATTGGGACAACCCGAAAAAGAAAAATTATATTTCTATAATTTTTTAAATATACAAATATTACAATTGAAGTATACATATCATTTTTGAATCTCCGACTCCTCTAACACTCAAGATTTCATCAAATCTCTTCAATTTTGTTTTCTAACTTCTAAAAAACATTAAAACGTGGACCTTCAGATTAATTTGCTTGTCAATTTCAGTAAAGGAGAGGCCTCTCAAAATCCCGAATGGGGCCAACTCCACCGACAATGGGATATTTAGCTCTAAATAAACAAACTCATTGATTCTTGTAGTTGTAGCACCATATGACAGTTTGTTCGAGGCCACCACTAAAGCAAACCTATTTTTATGTCACACAAACCTATTGATCCACGTAAGCCCGAGTGCCCAAAACCAATAATTGATCCATCCTTGGCTTTATACCTCTTAAACCTTAGTCCAAATTGCCCATTTGGCAAGACCAAATTCACATAATCACTCAGACCAAGAATGCGATGAGATTCTAGGCCAAAATGATTCATTGGTTGTGCAAGAGTTTCCATTGAAAAATCAAGAAGTCCAAGTTTTGCAAGGTGTGCACCATTCAGCCCAATCACTCAAGAAAGTTCACAAGCTTGTCCATGGAGTGCTAAAGGTCCAAGACATTTTTTAAGGCCTTTTTATTGGTCCAAACTATGGGCATCAAGTGTGGAGAGGTTTATTTGGTCTAAGCCCAATGAATGGATGTTATTTAATTCAAATAGATGAAGGTTAGCCAAACTAATTAAAGTTAGGGACATAGGTCCTCAATTTAAAGGAGTAGTTGTCCTTTAGCATTAAATGGTTATGGCCTATTGTATTTGAATGAATGGTGGAAAATTGAGCCCTTAATTTTTTGTATAATAATTTGTATTATTTTGTAATATTTGTAAAGGGGAATTCCCCATATTTGTAATGCCTATGTAAAGGCAACTCTCTCATTTTTGTGATGGCTAGTGAATGAATATGATGAATAGCATTTCAATGGAGATTGAATCTTCTTGCATTTCCTTTATCCAAGTTTCGGCCTAAGCTTGGTGGTGGATTAATTCAAGCCGATGGAGTTTCCTTTAAGCTTGAATGCTCCTTAGCCGTTTATCCTAGTAAGTTCTTGCATTTTGGTTCCCATTTTCCCATTCTCGGTTTGGCTTGTGTGTGTGTAATCCTTGCGCCAATTTGTGAGTTGTCTTGGATGGTTGATCTTTGGGGATTATTAGTATGTTAAAATTGATGATTTAAGGTGTTAAAAGGGATTGGGAGTGCTTGACTTTGTCTTGGCCGAATGAGTGTGTGTTGAAGCATGTGTGTTTTAGAGATAGATTGTTATGTGTATGGTTGTAGTGAGATGAAATAGGAGTTAAAGATTTGATTTCATATCAATTTGGTATCAGAGCTAAGGTTGTGGAATGAAATTTGTGTTGAATACTGATTGTTAAGATCAAAAGGATGCTTGATGTGTTGAAGGCATGGTAGAATCGGCTATGGCCAAAATTTTCATTTCCTTGCATTAGATTTTTCTCTTTCCTCAAACAACTCACCAACTACTAACTAAACACTTTACATATCATCCCAACCTAACCAATTCTATCCAAATCCAACTAAACCAATTCCATTTCAACTAAACTATCATTAAACCTTAACCAAACACTAAACGCCTCCCATTTGCCTAATCCACATTAATTAGCTTAATCTCCCCCTAATCTCAAACACTATTCACCGATTACTATTTACCTAAACCAAAATTACCCAAGCTTTCCCCTCTTACACTTACCACCTCAAATATCACTATTCCATACCTAAAAAGTTACTGTTCACTCCTAGAGTTATTGTTCATAGCAACTTAATTTTCCATTCTACATGTCAAACAAGAGTGGATCGTTTTCCCCAATGCCCCCTTGGGAGGTTGCTTCAACAAAACCCAAGAAGATATGAAGAAAGGGTGAACTAAATGGCCCAAATCATCATGGCTCACATAGCCCCACGCACACCCCCTACAAACCCAACCACTGCCCCATGTAACCAAGCCACTTATACGTCCTTGTACAAGAAACACCACCAAGAAGACTTACACCCCACATTAGGCATCAAGTGTACCAACCTCCTCCCCATGAAAATGAAACTAGTCTTCCAAGTGACTCTAGTGATTCTAGTGTTGTTGTGAGAAGAAGGAGGAGAAATTTTGATGATGAAGGGTATTTGAGTTCGAAGGCTACTTGGATGAGAAGAAGTGCAAGGTGGCCATCATAAAGTTCAAGGGATATGCTTCCTTATGGTGGGAGAATACTAGGAAAAAGAGAGAAAGAGAGGGAAAAGCTAGAGTGATGTCTTGGGATAAATTGAGGAGGATGATGAAAAATAGGTTCTTGCCTGAAAACTACAAGCAAGAACTCTACTTGAGTTTGTTCAATCTCAAGCAAAGAGATAAGAAAGTAGAGGAGCATAGAAGGGAATTTGAAGGCCTTATGATAAGGAGTGATATTCCAAAAGAAAATGAGCAAACTGTCACTAGATTTTTGGGAGATTTGCAAAAGGAAATAGCTCACAAAGTGAAGTTGCAGCTTTATCATTCATTTAGGGATGTATACAAGCTGGCTAACAAGGGGGAGAAGCAACTACAAGGTTTAAGCCCTCAAACCTTGTAGTTGCTTGTGCATAATGGGAGAAAGAATACCTACACCTTTAGGTTTAACAAGAAAACCATCACCTTATCCCCTTTACCACCCCAACAAACACTTCCCACACCTACACCGCCGAAAGCTAATAACCCACAAATAAGTCTATTCCTAAATGCCAACCAAGTAGAAAAGGCCCTTAATAACCAAAACCTTGTCCTAGCACTACTCATAGTTAAGAGAAAAGAAACCCAAGAGAGAGAGAGATCCATCCTTTAGTCCAACCCTTACTACATGAATTCCAAGATGTCTTTCTCAAAGAGCTACCACCAAGGTTACCACCATTGATAGGGATTGAGCACCACATTGATTTATTATTCGGGGCACTCTTACCAAACAAACAAGCCTATAGATGCAATTCGAAGGAGACAAAAGAGTTACAAAGGCAAGTTGATGAGCTTGTTAGTCGGGGGTATATGAGAGAGAGCATGAGCCCTTGTTCGGTTCCCGCATTGTTAGTGCCAAAAAAAGATGGGAGTTATAGAATATGTGCGGATAGTCGGGCTATAAACAACATCACAATCAAGTATAGGTATCCCATACCTAGGCTTAGGGGCAGATCTAGGAATTTCTGTTAGGGTGGGCCAAATGAAAACTAATTATACATAACATTCATATTCTGTCTTTCTAGTCAAAATTTTCACAAAAAGAAAAAAAAAATTACATTTTCTATTGTCCTCGTCGGGGCTTCATATTGAGGAATCGTTGCATCACCATCTCCTTATCAACACTGTCAAATAAATCTTTCTCAACATATGGAATTAAGCTATCATTCAAGAATTGATCTCCCATCCGATTGAGTAAATGAGTCTTCACAATTTTCATAGCAGAAAATGCCCTTTCTACAATTGCAGTTGCAACTGGTAAGGTTAAAGCCAATGTGATGAGCAAATATACCAATGAGTAAATAAGATGCTTCTTCTTTTCAACAATTTTCTGAGCAAGACTGGTAATATCATTCAGTTCTAAAAAGGCACTATCCGAGCGCATATCATCAATGTAATTATCAAGTTGAAGTTCAAGTGCCTTAAGATAAGTAGAAAAAAATTCAAGTGGATAAAATTGAGCAAAACGAACTATTTTTCCCTTATCAAATGCTTGAAAGCAATCACTTGGATTTAGGGAGGCCATGCAAATAAGTAATTTTGTATTACCTTCATTAAAACGACTATTAAGCTCTGATAGTTGAAAATCTATTATGACATAGAACAACTCGACATGATAATGAAATAAATTTGTCATCTCTTGAACATTACACTGCGATCTCCCTCGTTCAACAAATTTCTCTTCCATATTTGGCACATTAGTCTTTCGAATACTGAAATAGATCTCGATGGGCTTGGTAACTCAATAGAAATAGCTCTTTATGAAATATCTAGGTCGTTAGGTCTAGGTATGGTTCTACCTGCATGCCATAGCTTATGAGTCAAGGTTGTTCTGGGTACATTTAAATAGGTATCCTATAAGGTGAATGTTGTGGGTTTGTATTATGAACAATGCAAAAATGAGAAACTTCATCAAGTAGATTATCCCATCCATTATTTCTTATCAACAATAATCTTCTTCTCGACAAGTGAACCAAAGACATAGCATTTATAATATCTTGATCCTTCCTTTGCAATGCTTGTGAAAGTTCAAATGTGATTCCCAAAATGTTTTTCATCATGTGTAGGTTAAAAGCAAAATCAAAAGAAGTCATATAATCCACCAAATCACTTGCTTCAACTCTATTATCAGAATTTTCAATAAGATCCTCAAGCCCTTCAACAACAGATGAAAACAAATTAATCAAGCTCAACAAAGTCCCATAATGTGAACCCCACCGTGTTTCCCCTGGCCGCTTCAGACTAGTATCTTGATTAAGGCCTTGCCCTGTTGAAAGCCCACCACTTTCAATAGCTTTTTTCACCTTCAAAGCTTGTTTCTCATTAAGAAGATCCCGATGTCTAGGTGACCATCCAACAATATTTATCACACAAGAAACTTTCAAAAGAGGTCTCTCAATATTTGTATCCTTTTTTGCCACAACTTTCAATATAAGTGCTTCTAACCCATTAAACTGACCTCGCATATTACTTGCACCATCATAACCTTGTCCACGTAATCTTGATATGCTCAAATTGTATTTAGAGAACAATGTTTCAATTCCCATCTTTAGTGACAAAGCAGTCGTATCTGTGACATGCATAATGCTTAATAGACACTCAACAACACATCCTCTTTTGTTTACATAATGTAAGATAATTGCCATCAGCTCTTTGTTGGATCCATCACGAGCTTCATCAACTAATATAGAAAAAAAAGCATCTCCAAGATCACTAATTAGTTTGTTGATGGTTTCAACTGCAAATGCATTGATTATGTCTTTTTGGATACTAGGAGCAATCAATTTATCATGTCCAAGAGCATTCTCCAATGCTACTAATCTATATTCTTCATTTTGCTTAGTTGTATAGTGTAAAAATTCAAGAAAGTTTCCCCGATTCATTGAATTATCAGACTCATCATGGCCACAAAAAGGCAATCCTTGCCGAAGAAGAAGCCGACTAGCAGAAATTGATCCTTTCAACCGAATACAATAATCTTCTCGTTGTTGGTCAGATTTCTTATTAATAATTGTACTACATGCTGCTTTTGGTTCATCAAAGCTTGACAATTTTTCAAAGTTTGGTTATGGTAGCTGTTAGGACCTCCAATATGATATTTAAAAATTTTCAAGTCTCTTCCAATTGCGAAACCCATCAAGAACAAAAGAATCACCACCACTTTGCTCACATTTATCTGGTTTGAAAAGATAACAACATAAACAATATGCAGCATCATTCTCAACACTATATTCCAACCAATAAGGATATTTGTCAAACCAAGAACATTGGAAACTCCGTTCATGATCACCAGATTTTGATTTGGGAAACTTATGGTTGCGAGGTTGATAAGGACCCTTTTGTAAATAATGCATTCTGACTTGGTCTCGAACATTAGGATGATAAAACGTAATTCTTGGTCGAAATCCAGGATCAAAAGGAAGATTTTCCAAGTCAACTTCAAAGCAATTTTTCTTTGAAGAAGGTTGGTTTTCATTATCATTGACACCAAAACAAAGTTGAGATGTCTTAACAATTGACTTTTTTTTTAAAAAAAAATATTTTTCCATATCTAAACACAAAAAAATAAAATTATATAAATACAAAGAAATAAATTAACTCAAGAATTGAATTCTATAATAACTATGGAAATTCTAAATTTTCCAAGTTCCAACTTAAAGTTTTTCAATCATCAACTTAAAGTCTTAAAAACTTGAATTGAACAATATATAAAAATAAAAGCCTCCTTGGTTCTATCTATATTCTATTTCTATTATCTATATATTATTTTTCTTCCAAATTTTGGGACCACAAAACAATCATTTACCTATCACAAAATATTGGAATCTAAAAACTTCCCCTTTTTTCCTAAAAGTTTTCTCAATAAAAAATTCAATGCACAATGCACAATGCTATTATGCTAATACACACTACACAAATAAAAGAAAAGCATTACACACACACACACACACACACAAAAATAAAAATAAAAAGAGTACTAACCAAAGAGAAAATAGCTAATTAAATTTTGTTGAAGTCTGAAATATGAAGAATTAGAGAGAGTAGCAGAGGAACTGTGAAAAAACGTGAGGGACTGCCAGACTGAGGGTTTGTAGATTGTAATAGTAGAGTAAAGTTTTACTTTTACAAATTTTATTAAAAAATTAAAGGTGGGCGGTGGGCCAAGTCTTTTAGTATTAAAATGGAGAGTCGGCCAAGACTTTTTAGTCCTAAATTTGAGAGTGAACCACATTTTTTAATATTTAAAAATAAAAATTAAGTGTGGGCCAAAGTCAAACCAAATAGAATAACACACTCTGGATCCGCCCCTGCCTAGGCTTGATGACATGCTTGATGAGTTACATGGTTCCAACATCTTCTCCAAGATTGATCTTCGGAGTAGATACCATCAAATAAGAATGAGAGAAGGGGATGAATGGAAGACAGCTTTCAAGACAAAGGGAGTGCTTTATGAGTGGATGGTCATGCCCTTCGGGCTCTCCAATGCACCACGTACCTTCATGCGGCTAATGAATGAGTTATTAAAACCTTTCTTGGGCAAATTTGTAGTGGTTTATTTTGATGATATACTAGTGTATAGCCAATGTGAGGGTGAGCATGTTAGCCATTTTAGGCAAGTGTTTGATGTCTTGAGGAAGCAAAGATTGTTTGCTAAGATGGAGAAATGTGAGTTCTTTATGAGGAGCATTGTGTTTCTAAGCTATGTAGTTTTGGGTGAGGGTATAATGGTTGATCAATCAAAGGTGGATGCAATTAGGAGCTAGCCTAAACCTAAAACCATTAGTGAAGTAAAGAGTTTTCATGGTTTAGATTCTTTCTATAAGAGATTTGTGCTCAATTTTAGTACTCTTATGTCACCCATTATCGAGTGTTTAAAGAAAGAAAATTTTGAGTGGACAAAAGAGGCAAGTGAGGCATTTGAAGTGATCAAGAATTTTGTGAAACATCTTTCCTAGCTCTACCTGATTTCAACAAAGTAATTGAGGTTGAGTGTGATGCAAATGGAGTTAGAATAGGGGTAGTCCTTACTTAAGACAAGAGGCCGTTAGCATACTTTAGTAAGAAGCTGAATGAGTCTAGGAGGAAATATAACACTTATGATAAGGAGTTATATGCCATTATTAGGGCATCAGACCATTGGAGTCACTACTTGAGGCCTAAACAATTTGTGTTTCATTCGGATCACCAAGCTCTCATGTTCATCAATGGGCAGCATAAGTTGAACTCTAGGCATACCTAATGGGTTGAGTTTCTTCAATCATTCTCATTTGTTTCCAAGTACAAGCAAGGGTGCACTAATGTGGTGGTTGATGCTTTGTCAAAAAGGTATTCTATCCTTTCCATTTTGGATGGAAGAGTACTTAGGTTTAGTATGATGAAGAAGCATTACAAGCAAAATGAAGAAATGGCCACAATCATGGCTAAGTGCACTAATGGCAGTTTTAAAGATTATGTGGTCCAAGACGAATTTTTTTTCAAGGGCAATCAGTTATGTGTGCCTTATAGGAGTTTTAGAGAGTTGCTTGTGAGAGAGGTGCATCGAGGAGGACTTGTGGGTCACTTTAGGGTTACCAAAGCAGTGGAAGTTCTTAGGGAGCATTTCTATTGACTAAAAATGCTTGGGGATGTGCAAACAATAGTGGCTAAATGTGGAGTTTGTCATACAACCAAGAACCATTTCAAACCAGTGATGTGCACTTCATTGCCGATTCCTAATCAACCTTGGGAAGACCTAAGCATGAATTTTATTGTAGCCTTGCCGAGAACTCAAAGAGGTAAGGATTCCATAATTGTTGTTGTTAATAGATTCTCTAAAATGGCACATTTTAGTGCGTGCAACAAGACTAATGATGCATCACATGTGGCTGAGTTGTTTTTTGAAGAGATTGTGAGGTTGCATGGTGTACCAAGAAGCATTGTGTCGGATAGGGATACCAAATTCCTTAGCCATTTTTGGAGGTCTTTATGGAGTAGATTGGGTACCAAACTCTTCTTTAGCACTTCCCATCACCCTTAAACCGATGGTAAAACCAAGGTCACCAATAGAACTTTAGGGACCATTCTAAGAACCTTGGTGAATAAGAGTTTGAGAGATTGGGACAACAAATTAGCTTATGTCGAATTTGCCTACAATCAGTCCCCTAGTGCTACCACTAACCATTTTCCAGTAGAGGTCCTTTATGGTCTTAACCCCATCACTCCCATAGAATTAAGTGCCTTACCCCTTGATATCCAAGTGAATCTTGATGCTAAAGAGAAGGCAAAGTCTATAAAGAAGCTACATGAGTCAATTAGGGCCTAAATAGCCAAATCCAATGAAGCTTATAGGAGGAGAGCCAACAAGCATAGGAAGCCCACTTATTTCCAACCAGTTGACCTTGTGTGGGTTCGTTTGAGAAAAGAGATGTTTCCTTCCAAGAGGAAAAACAAACTAGCACCTAGAGCCGATGGACCTTTTGAGGTTCTTGGAAGAGTTGGGGATAATGCATACAAGATTGATTTGCCCTTTGAAGTTGGTAATGTTTCGGCTACTTTCAACATTGGAGATTTGTCTTCTTACTTGGAAAATGGAGAACTTTCAGAATTGAGGACAAATCTTTCTCAACTTGAGGAGGATGATGAGATTCTAGGCCCAAATTAATGATTCCTTGGTTGTGCAAGAGTTTCCATTGAAAAATCAAGAAGCCCGAGTTTTGCAAGGTGTGCACCATTTAGCCCAATCACTCAAGGAAGTTCACAAGCTTGTCCATAAGTGCTAAAGGTCAAAGACATTTCTCAAGGCCTTTTTATTGGCCCAAACCGTGGGTATCAAATGTGGAGAGGTTTATTTGGCCCAAGCCCAATGAATGGATGTTATCTGATTCAAATAGATGAAGGTTAGCCAAGCTAATTAGAGTTAGGGACATAGATCCTTAATTTAAAGGAGCAGTTGTCCTTTAGCATTAAATGGTTATGGCCTATTGTATTTGAATGAATGGTGGAGAATTAAGCCCTTAATTTTTTGTGTAATAATTTGTATTATTTTGTAATATTTGTAAAGGGGAATTCCCCATATTTGTAATGCCTATATAAAGGCAACTCTCTCATTTTTGTGATGGCTAGTGAATGAATATAATGAATAGTATTTCAATGGAGACTAAATCTTCTTGCATTTCCTTTATCCAAGTTTCGGCCTAAGCTTGGTGGTGGATTAAATTCAAGCCAATGGAGTTTCCTTTAAGCTTGAATGCTCCTTGGCCATTTATCCTAGTAAGTTCTTGCATTTTTGTTCCTATTTTCCCATTCTCGATTTGGCTTGTGTGTGTGTAATCCCTGCCCCAATTTGTGAGTTGTCTTGGATGGTTGATCTTTGGGGATTATTAGTATGTTAAGATTCATGATTTAAGGTGTTAAAAGAGATTGGAAGTGTTTCACTTTGTCTTGGCCGAATGAGTGTGTTGAAGCTTGTGTGTTTTAGAGATAGATTGTTACGTGTATGGTTGTAGTGAGATGAAATAGGAGTTGGAGACTTGATTTCATATCAGAATGCATCATCGATTCTAGGGTTATTAAAAATCATGCCACCATTATTTATGAGTCTACTAGAACTGATGCATGCCAAGCGCAACCAAAAATTAAATTACTCTACTCACAACTTGTAATCACAGTAAGTACAGGTCGATCCACAGAGACTAGCTAATCAGATTACCCAACTTAATATCACAATGAATTAATGAAATAAAAAGGGGGAAATTTTACTTTGACAATTAATTGACACAAGATTAATTACTACTAACAGGAATTAAGTAAGGAGAATTTAATAAAAAAAAATTTGATTTCGACTCAAGGACAATTAACCACGGTTGCAAACTGATCACTGACTTCTAATATATATTATTTTTTA